ATGTACAGTTTGATTGTCAGAAAAATGTATTCTAGGTTAGCTGCGGTACCTGGTGACTCGTGTTTAATCAGATGGAGTCACGGGTGTGTTTGTTTACTGCCTGTGATGGTCCATAAAACAAACGCACTTCCTTGCTGTGTAACTGCAAACTGTGGCTGTTGTGTTGATGAGCTCTGCAGCAAGAAGTTGTCAAAAAGGTGTCTGGTGGCTCTCCGGTTTAGCTAGCTAGTGGAGGCTCACGCTAACACTAAACTAGGATTGTTAAACGCTAACACAACCTGGGAGCCGAGTGTCTTGTCAGTAAAGAGCAGCTGTAGCTGCTAATATTTACTCTGATTACTTGCCTCCAACAACATTCCAACTAAAGTGATAAAGTGACTCAGTGGCACTCTGCTCCAAGTATAAATACAGTTTAGAGGTGGCAGTAAATACTGACAGACTCCTTGGACTGATAAAGTTGCTGCGACAGTACTTGTGGACATCTGCTCCAGCTGAGCAGCTGTTTCCAGCAGCTGGACTAACACGTCGCTATATCATGTGGATCTACTGTGAGGATTATTTTTGATATAAAACCATTATGACTCAAGTCTGCTGTGAAGACATTAATAACTGCTGTTTACTTTATCTGTTGTTTAAATTCCTGATGTAACTGAGTCGATTTTGCAGCAAACATTAAATATCAGAGTTGGAAAACCATTTAATCAGCAGATGAAAAACACCAGTTGTATTTTATTCATTCCATCAAATGATAAATAGTTTTAGTGGCCAACTATCAGTTAAGGAAATGTTTTAAACTTTGCATTTCCAATCATTCTGCTCTTCGTCCCCCTCAGGCCTGTCACGGATGTCAGAAGGTGTTTGAGGAGGCAGAGAGGAAGCATCACTGCCGATCATGTGGCGAAGGGTTCTGCCATCCCTGCTCCAGCCACAGGATGCCGGTGCCCGAGCGGGGCTGGGGCAGCGGTCCTGTCAGGGTGTGTAAGGCCTGCTACCGCCAGGGAGGGCCTGCCGACACCAACAGCCAGGGTGAGACGTATGCAGCCTGTCGGGGGATAAACAGTAACGAACTGGCAAAAGTCCTTAACTGCCTTGTTCTTGGCTTTTAATTTTCTAGCATTTCGTTGCTCAAGTTTAGAGCTTAACTACAGTTTAAACCACATTTCCAATTTTCTTTCTTTCTTTTAATCACTGATACACAGCATTAAGGAGGCGAGAAATTATACAGTCACATCTTTGTGTATTTAACCCTCTGAGACCCAAGACCCCCTGGTGTCATTCAAAGATGTGTTTTCTTTGAATAAATCACCCAAACGCTACCATTTGTCATAACAAGAAACTGTAGAAACAAAAAAAATCATTAGATATTCAACTAACTTACTGTTCTGTCATGGAT